ATATATCTCAGTCATTTGACATCCATGATATACACAATATCTAACATATGACATTGAATAAATTGACAATATACAAATACTGGCGACGAGTCTCGATTAACGCGACGAGCTTCAAATACGTGGCAACGAGCCCTACAAAAGGCAACAAGCCATAATCAGTGATAATAAACTATCATGAGCAACGAGCTGCTGTTTACATGCGACAGGCATCAGTTTCTCAGGGCGACAAGCCTCCATGTTTGCAACTTAGAAACAATCACTAATAAAAGTAAAGTTTTCAGTGGTGCACTGCAAGCGAGAATGACCACTCTTTACATGCTTGACCTTATAAGGCCTCTTATAAGCGCCCTCTACTATTACACAACACCATGTTGTATTTTCCTACGATAGGAGAAAGTAAATTCTTTCTTATTCGTACCTCAAACGAAAGAAATAATATTCCTCTCACGACTGTGGAACCTCTACAGGCAGACCGGCGATGTTGTCATGAGACGTGGGCGTGGGCGACCAAAGAAAACTACAGCTCGTCAAGATCGTCAGATTCGGCTGATTTGTTTGAGGGATCGCTTTAAACCTGCCCCAAAAGTGAATGCCGAGTTCAAAACTGTCACACATCTACGGTTAAGTGAGCGCACAGTACGTAACAGGCTGCGTTCAGCCGGTCTACAAAGTCGCCGTCCCGTGGTAGGAATCAGGATGACTCAAGAACACAAACGGCGAAGGTTACAGTGGGCAAGGCAGCATGGAGCCAGATAGCTGCGTCGTTGGCGATACACCATGTTCAGCGATGAGTCTCGTTTCAATATGGACACTGCAGATGGTCGGATACGTGTTTGGAGACGACGCAATGAACAATACCAAGCATGCACTGTCAAACAGCATGACAGATACGGAGGTGGATCAGTGATGGTCTGGGGTGGAATACCTACGACAACCGAACAGATTTGATTCGTATGGATGGTCGTCTAACTGGTGTTCGTTACCGTGACGAAGTGTTACGCCCAGTGGTGCTTCCGTTCGCTAACAGAGTTGGGCGGTTGTTCGAGTTTCAGCAGGACAATGCAAGGCCACATACTGCTCGTGTTTCAGCAGATTTTTTGAGGCAGAACCAGGTCGCTGTGCTTCCATGGCCGGCTAAAAGTCCAGACGTTAACCCGATAGAACATTTATGGGACGTTCTTGATCGTCGGGTGCGAGATCGCATTAATCAACCTCGTAATCTGGACGAGATGTTTGACTGTTTAAGACAAGAGTGGCATAATGTTTCAAGGGCTACAATCCGGGCATTAATTCGGAGTATGCCAAGACGTTGTCAGGCTGTTGTGAGAGCCTCTCCTCTCACCATTGTCTGTCTACCAGTACTTCTTGGTAATGAGATGTCTTCCCCTACCAACAACGAGGTTCCTGCCATCGCAACCGAGTTCCGAGACAACACCAGACCTAAAAACCTGCATTGTTGGAAATGTCCGGGATCCGGGATCAAATACTGTCCAAAAGCTGTATGCGGGAATAGGTGTGGTAATTCTGGACATTGGGGTGAAAACAGTGTCCCATGCCCTGTACCCGCTGTAACAGGGGGGACACTATCTGAGGACCTGTCCGGATCTTCAAGCCCTTGATGTGAGGCACGGAGTTGCCGGTGTAGTTGACCCTGTCCCTGCTGTTCGTGGAGGAGGTGTTCTTGATGCTGCTGCTGTTAGTGCTTCTACCGCTGTACAGGGAGACCAACTGTTTCCGCGGACCTGGTTCCCGCAGTCGGCAAATGCTTCAGATGCGGGGGTTCCGATCATTGGGCCTCTAATTGTCCCCGTACCAAGTGTTACAGGTGCAACACTAACAGACACTACGCCAGGGACTGTATGAAGAGTATGCACGGTGCACATGTTGTTGGTGTTTAGTTGGAAAACCGTATAAAGACCCGTGACGGGGAGGGTGAGATGGCGATACCTGTAGAGAGGTGTGCGAAGTGTTGCGTCAAAACAACGGCCGATGTCGGCACTCAGACTAAAGGTCGCGCGATCCTAGGCTCTCATTACAGAAAATTAAAGTGTATTACGGGTCTTGAATGAAGTTTGAATGAAGATTCGGAAGATAGAGCTGAAACCACTGGAGCGGTGGCTCCCATACCGCGACTACCCACCGATACCGATAGAGGCAGCCCCCCGGAGAGTGCTCAGCGGGTTGGGGCGGCTAGGAGTCCTGCTTCAGAGGGTTTCAGCCCTATTAGCAAGCTGCCTGTTGAAGAACCGAACACGCCTCTCTACATCGATGAAGAGAGCACTCACTCACTCTCTCCCGAGAATGCACAGAGGGTGCCCTGAAACGATGAGAGCACAACATTCCCATCCTCCCTCGTTACAGAACTGTCTGGCGCGTCTAGCGCAACATCTACGGTGACTCCCCCTCCCCCTATGGAATCGACCGAAGTGAGTACCACGAACACTCTAACCGTAGTGGCTGACGTACACCACCACGGTACACTCCCGAGACGTGTAAGACGGCCCCGCACTCTGCATAGGAGCGGGGTCAAAACACGTCTCAACATCCCCTGAGTCGTTCATTTGTATTTCTATGTGTATATAATTCTATGTAATAATGTCAAATTGTTTGACAACGTATCGTTATTTGTATATATTTTATTTCACATGTAATAAAATGATTTTTTGTTAAATGTATACACTTTTTTTGGTATTCTTTAAGAGCGCGCGCACACACAGAGTTCTGACACGCATTAGCAGAAATGTCTGTTATGGTTGACGAACCTAGCACAACACGACGATCACCGTTGGAATACAAAACCACGATCGCCATGTGCTGACGTCACGAGTATAGGACGCGTTGTATGACGTCACACACACTCATGTCTGGGAAATGATCGTACGACCATCGACCCAAAATGGCGATCACCATAGGGACAACTCCACCAATCAACAACGTAGGTTATGGTTGTCACTTTGTGACGTCATCACGAGGTATCACCCCCTTTCCCTAATCCCCCCTTTGATCTATTGTTTTACGACGATTGTTCTCTTAACGATTTAGGTAAACACCCCAGGCCAGGGCCAGACCAGCGAATTTCCGAGGTCACGTAATATTACGTAACCGGATTATCTCGGAAATTCGCTGGTACCACACTACTCGCTTCAATACAGGACGCGTGAAAATGGAAACAGATAACCGTCTGTTGGGCAATGATCAGCTCCGTGGGTTGGTGACTTGCAACCTCCGTTAGCTTGAAGGCACCAAGATAAGCGATAATTATAAACTTTAACTTTTCAACAACATATCCTTTTCGACCGAGTTGATATCATGACAAAATGTTATGTTAAAAACCAAGATGTCTTTCTGCACTGAGTGAGTGAGTATTGTTTTACGCCGCATATTCCAGCTTATTCGTGTGGGGGAATCAAACCCATACTTCGGGGCGACAAGACGTTTTAGCCATAAGCCTATCAGTATTCTCTCTGCGTATTTAGTGAGAGGATGCGTGTGCATGTAGAACTATTCCAGACATGTTGCGGCAACTGATGTGCCATCAGCAATATCACCATCCTCAGTTTTGTTTCTGCAACACTGCACCTTTTACCCACAATCATAAATAAACGCCACCACAATACACTGAATTCGAATCTCAAACCACCAATGGACCTCCGCTGGATCCAACCTGACCATTCTGAAAAGGCTTAGATTTGTAGGAAAGAGCACTGTTGGTTTTAGGCTTCTCAAATTGGAGAAACTTGCGATCACGGGTATTGGGCAGACATACCTGTTTGTTGCTTAACGCTGACAGAAAATAGAGGGGATGGAGAGGAACGGGCTTCTGAAGATGAAGGTTTGGCATCTAGCCCGCCGGCATGGGGCATTACTGACATAACTTTATCGCCAGAGAACAGCCTGTCTCGTCCGACGAAACAGATTACAATGTTCCTTAAAGGGAAACAGCAGCGAAGGTTTATGAAATGATAACTCAAAATAAATGACACCAGGTGATCAGGAAATGGGTGAGCATGTCCTGCTCTACCGGTAGCACCCGCCACTCAAACACTTTCAAAAAATTGAGTTGTTGCCTGATGTCTCACAGCCTTCTTGCCTTCTGACGGCGGCATGTAAAGAAACCAGACAATCTAGTGATTGTCGTTTAACGCCACACTCAGCAATATTCCAGCTATATGACGGCGGTCTGTAAATAATCGAGTCTGGACCAGACAATCCAGTTATTGACATCATGCGCATCGATCCAAGCAATTAGGATACGATGCCATGCACCAACAAAGTCAGCGGGCCTGATCACCCGATCCCGTTAGTCGCCTCTTACGGCTAGCAGGGGTTGCTGAAGACCTATTCAAGTCCGGATCTTGACCGGTAGACAATCTCACCTCAATCCTACTGTCCCTTCCTAACAGGAGGGGGCACGGGTGGCCCAGTCGTCTAAGGCGCCGCGATTCGCTATGCAGAGTTGCGTCCCCGGCACGCCAGAAACCTATGATTGTGGGTTCGAATCCCGGTTCGCCCCGATTATGTTTCTAGGTTTGTCAGCACCATACCCGTGCTCGTGGGTTTCACCGAAGTGGTAAACGTCTGAGACCTGCATCACTTCGGGCTTTCCTCCCACATTCAGCAAACACGCCGTGATATAACTGGAATAATGTTAAAAGCGGCGTTAAACCCAACTCACTCACTCACTCCTAACAGGACATAATCTCTGTTACTTTCTTGTTTCATTTTCCTTCCCCAGCCCGTCTGTTATGTGATAATTCATTGGTTCGAATGCTTTAGGTAAGAGACGATCAAATTTTCAGAAAGAACACACTGATCGAATGTTTCTTTCCCATCATCCTGTGACGTCACACCTTCTTCGTGTGCCTTAACCTTTTACGTTAATATCCCAGATCGACCCAGAATCCACACGGGGTTAAACACGTTAAATAGTGGGTAAGGTCTGGTGTTCAGACAACATCGTAAATTTTTATATGCAGAAACTCACAACGACAGAACATAACTAAATAATTCCATGCGATTTATTCCTCGTATATATGAGACCAATGTCACACCGGGAATACAAGAAACGTGGGTCACATGCTCCGCACATGGCAGTATCCGACACCTAACACTGGAGCTTGTCCATTTCACCGATGTTGACAGTTTGGCCGTTGGACAGCATCTTGCCGTTGTTGTCGGTGCAGAAGCAGACAGAGCCCGTGCACTGTTTCTTGTTGTAGCTGCCTTTGTTGTCGCAGAAGAAGAGTTTGCCGATGAGGCCGGTCTTCAGGTAGGCGGCTTTATCCCGAGCACACGCTTAAAAAAGTAGTCAATAAAAACAACGGTCAGCATCAATTCTGAATATGTCTATTTGTATTTCATATGATGCAGTGACACCTTGTGGTCCCGTTAACCATGAAACCTTATATTCCGGACGAGAAATGAAGGCAACGCTCACATGGGAACATTTCTCGTTACCCATGACTCGTTAATCTGGATATTTGTTAACCCAGTCGACTCGATACGAGAACGGATAAACGGGTTTTCACTTGTTAATCCATGCTTGTCATTTATTGTGACAAGAAACTATGTTAGCCGCACTTTAAGCAATATTCCAGCAATATCACGGCGAGGGACACCAGAAATGGGCTTCACACATTGTACCCATGTCGGGAATCGAACCCGAATCGAACCACTAGGCTAGCCGACCGCCCCAACGGTGGTCTGAAGATATTTCGAGACGCTGCGAACAAGGACGGGTATCCAGGCCACCATAGAATCTCAGTTTCAATAAAGGCAACTCACTCACTGGCTTAGAATTTAGACCCATTACCTGAATCTTACTTCCGAACAAATTCACATTGTCACGACCTCAGTACATACGTTCGATTAGTTTTGGTTTGGTTTGTTGTTTGACGCCGCACTCAGCAATATTCCAGCTATTTGACGGCGGTGTGTAAGTAATCGAGTCTGGACCAGAGAATCCAGTGATTGACATCATGAGCATCGATCCACGCAATTGAGATAAGATGACATGCATCAATCCGGCCCCGTTAGTCGCCTCTTGCGACAAGCATAATCACCTTATACTGCAGTCCGCAATATTACAGCTATGATACGTTGACCTTCTGATAACCTAATCCGGCGAGATGTTAATTATAAACTCCTGGAATATAAAACAACTAAACAACGTTGCTAATAATAGAAATATATCTGTTTACTTACTGCAGTCCATGTTGTCTGTGCCAGCGGCGTAGTTGGTGAAGTAGCCGAGGTCGTTACCGTCAGTGTCAACACAGTAGCATCTGCAGAAACCAGGTGTGGAAAATAATGAGTGTTGTTTTACTCCGCTGTCAGTCAAAATATATCACGGCGGCCTTTAATAGTCGAGGCTGGATGAGACATACCAGTGATTGATATCTACAACGTCCCAAGTCATGGGGGTGAAATTGGATTTAACGTCGCGTCCACTTATATAGCGACGTGCATGTACATGTATGTTTGTGTGACTGCCGATTCATAGTGCTAGCCCACTGAGATACCATGCCGCAGTTTAACATGAATACCCCCACTCAGACACAGTATACTGACTCCGAGCCGACCAGTCCTTGTTTTAGCCCCTTAATGCCGAGCACCAAACAGGGTAACAACAAGTACCATCTTTTAACGTCTTTAAATATGACGCGGCAGGGGATTGAACCCTGGACAAACGGAGATGTGATACCCCGGACAAACGGAGATGTGATACCCTGGACAAACGGAGATGTGATACCCTGGGCAAACTGAGATGTGATACCCTGGACAAACGGAGATGTGATACCCCGGACAAACGGAGATGTAATACCCCGGACAAACTGAGATGTGACACCCTGGACAAACGGAGATGTGATACCCTGGACAAACGGAGATGTGATACCCTGGACAAACGGAGATGTGATACCCTGGACAAACGGAGATGTGATACCCTGGACAAACGGAGATGTGATACCCTGGACAAACGGAGATGTGATACCCTGGACAAACTGAGATGTGATACCCTGGACAAACTGAGATGTGATACCCTGGACAAACGGAGATGTGATACCCTGGACAAACGGAGATGTGATACCCTGGACAAACGGAGATGTGATACCCCGGACAAACTGAGATGTGATACCCTGGACAAACTGAGATGTGATACCCTGGACAAACTGAGATGTGATACCCCCGACAAACGGAGATGTGATACCCTGGACAAACTGAGATGTGATACCCCGGGGAAACGGAGATGTGATACCCTGGACAAGTGAGTGTGAGTGAGTGAATTGGGTTTAACGCCGCTTTTGACAGTATTCCAGTTATATCGCGGCGTGTCAGCTTAATGTGGGAGGAAAGCCCGAAGTGATGCAGGTCTTAGACGTTTACCACTTCGGTGAAACCCACGAGCACGGGTATGGTGCTGACAAACCTAGAAACATAATCGGGGCGAACCGGGATTCGAACCCACAATCATAGGTTTCTGGCGTGCCCAAGGGACGCAACTCTGCACAGCGACAAACGGAGATGTGATACAATGGACAAACGGAGATGTGCACCTACCCTGATCCTCTGCACTGCTTGGCCTTGAATGTCCCGTCAGTCTCACACAGAGGTTCAGAGGACCCCAGGAGGTGCTGCTCCTTATCCAGATACTCATGGTGACGCAGAGCGCAGAGTCCTGGCGGGTACAAACAATTACAAAATATGATAAAAGTGTTATATATATGTCGTTAATGGGAAAAACGTATTTATTTACTTAGTTTACTTAGTTTTACTTTATTTTAGTTTTATATTGTTTATATATAATAAACTATGATTAAAAAAATAAAAAAACCGAAATAAATCTATGTTTTTTCCCAATTAAAGATATCCCTGAGAGACTTTTGCAACATGCATGCGTTGACATAGTGTAACCCTACTTCACAAGTAACAGTTCATTCAGCATAAAGGGGCTAAAGTAAGGTCTGGTCGGCTCGGAGTCAGTACACTGTGTCTGAGTGGGGTATTCATGTTAAACTGCGACATGGTATCTCAGTGAGCTAGCACTATAAATCGGCCTCTGTCCGGACTTGTACAAGCAGCCACAGCCACAGCCACACATCCACCCCCACCCCCCACCCACCCTGACCCCCACCCCCACACCCACACCGCTATACAAATGCACAAATCTTGGACGCGACGTTAAACCCAATTTCACCTCACCTCACAAAAAGATTTGTGGGATGAATAAATTTGAAATAATACCCCGAAAGCATACATTAATTTCAGTTCTATGAGGAAATGTACTAATTTAAGTAGGAGTGAGTATAATTGTCATGCGTAATCATGGTTGTACAAGCTGAGAATATTCGTATGACATAAGCAGGCAATCACGTTTGACAACCTTTAGTTTCAAACTAGATCTCAAGATGGAAAAAGGGCGGCAGGGTAGCCTGGTGGATAAAGCGTTCGCTCGTCACGCCGAAGGCCAGGGTTCGATTATCCACATGTGTACAATGTGTGAAACCCATTTCTGGTGTCCCCGGGCGTGATATTGCTGGAATATTGCTAAAAGCGGTGTAAAACCCTACTGACTCGCTTGCTCAAGATTGAAAGGTGGCGTGGACGACCCAGTCGTCTGAGGCGCAACAATTCACTGTGCAGAGTTGCGTCCCTTGGGCACGCCAGGATCTGATGATTGCGGGTTTGAATCCCGGTACACTCAGATTTGGTTTCTAGGTTTGTCAGCACCATACCCTTGGTCGTGTGTATTACAAAAGTAGTAAACGTCTAAGACCTGTATCACTACGGGCTTTCCTCCAACAGGAAGCTTACACACCGTGATATAACGGGAATACTTTTCAAAGCGGCTTTAAACCCAACTCACTCATTCACTGACTTAAGATGGAAGGCTGTTGTTGACACATTTCGTAAAAAGAGCAGACGTTTTCTCATCTGTGCATGCTATTCTCGTCCTCCGCCTTTAGACTGTTACGACATTGTCGCACAGTACCATGTGCTTAACGAAATCAACTCAGGTGCCATCTTCAGCAACCCGTGCCTGTCGTAAAGGCGTCTATGCTTGCCGTAAAAGGCGACCATGCTTGTAAGAGTCGAGTAACGGGATCGGTTAGTGAGGCTTACTGACTTAGTTGATGCATGTCATCGATCCCAATTGCATGGATCGATGCTCATGATGTCAATCACTGGATTGTCTGGTCCAGACTCGATTATTTACATACCGCAATCATATAGCTGGAATATTGTTGATTGCGGCGTTAAACAACAAAGAAAGAAAGAGAGAAAGAAAACTCAGTTGCCAAAACTCTGAAGTGAACTAAGTCTGATTTATGCCAAATCTCGACATGTCTCGCCCAATCTCGCTCTTGCTAGAAATAGATGATGACACAGTTCAAAACGCCAACGCCCGAGAATCAGTACCGATTATCTGACGAAACAGTAGCACCTGCCACTAAAACATTGGTTCCGTGGAGGCGAGTAGGTGTTGCTACCTACTGATGTAGATACGCCCGATGTCGTCATATGCATGCCTCGCATGTACATATTCACCCACGTGAGTGGCATGGGGCGTGCGTACGGGCTTTAAGGGTGAGTGAGTTAGTGAGTGTGGTTTTACGCCGCTTTTTAAAGAAATATTCCAGTAATATCACAACGGGAAACACCAGAAACGTACTTCATATCGATTTGTTTCTTTGTTTGTTGTTTTACGCCGCACGCAGCAATATTCCAGCTGTATGACGTTGGTTTGGAAATAATCGAGTCTGGACCAGACAATCCAATGAGCAATATCATGAGCATCGATCCACGCAATTGGGATACGATGACATGCATGCATCAACAAGTCAGCGAGCCTGACCAAGCGATCCCGTTACTCGTTTCTTACGAGCAAAGTCGCCCTTTACGGCAAGAATGGGTTGCTGAAAACCTTTTCTAACCCGGATCTTCACGGGTGCAATCGCATCGATGTACTTCACATCGAGGTACAAGACAATTGACTGATTTTGCAGTGGACAACGGGAATAGTTCAACTTGGTCAGCCACATAGTATATTATCGTTACGGACGTCCTGGGCCAGAGAGTGTGTCGCGCTGTGGGACTTGCACAGGTGTGTTGTCATGTGAGCTCCCGGTTACTTCAAGGAGGTTAAGATGCATAAATCGGTGAAACAGATAAAATGGTGTAAGTTACCGGTGCTTCTTGTGCTCTTGACACAGGTGAGGGAAGTAGTGTCACAGTGTAGGCCCTTGCCACACTCCGCGTGAGTCCCCACACCCAGAAAGAGGCTGACGTCACACGATTCACCGGCAGCTTCCGGAGAAAAGAAATGACAGGTGAGAAAAGAAATGACAGGTGAGAAAAGAAATGACAGGTGAGTGAATGAGTTGCAACTTTGGTTTAACGCCGCTTTTAACAGTATTCCAGTTATATCACGGCGTGTCAGTTTAATGTGGTAGGAAAGCCCGAAGTGATGCAGGTCTCAGACGTTCACCACTTCGTGAAACCCACGAGCACGGGTATGGTAAATGACAGGTGAGAAAAGAACAGCGCAGGGTGCAAATAAAAGGAAGTCAGTGTTACCTGAGCATGCACTAATACACTGCACACACTACAAAGGAACACAGAACTAACCTACAAACCACCCTAAACTTCAACTCCAAGCTAGCTCTAGCAACACTCCAAGACACACTAAACTTTAAAGCCCTTTGCATATACTTAATTAAAACAGGTCTAACAGACCAAATAAATAAACAAACAAACAAACAAACAAACATACATACATACACACCTCCCTTAGCTCCATCCCCCATTGGCATCTTTTCCAAATCTCAAAATTCAAACATAAGCAACCTTTAAAGGCCCCCTGCTGGGTTGCACCTCATACCCATCTCGGCAAATACACTTAATGCGGGTAGGGTGCTGACACACCTAGAAACACAATCGGGGCGAACCGGGATTCGAACCCACAACCATAGGTTTCTGGCGTGCCGAAGGGACGCAACTCTGCACAGCGAATTGCGGAGCCTTAGACGACTGGGCCACCCCACACATTAAGTGTATTTGCCGAGATGGGTATGAGGTGCAACCCAGCAGGGGGCCTTTAAAGGTTGCTTATGTTTGAATTTTGAGATTTGGAAAAGATGCCAATGGGGGATGGTGCTAAGGGAGGTGGCTGGAATATAGCTGAGTGCGGCGTTAAACAACAAAAAAACAAACAAACAAACCTGATATATTAAAAGACTTAGGGTATAATAGAGTAAAAAAATGAAACACACGGTACATGGCAAAGTTGTTACAGAAAATGCACTAAAAATATAATGCCCGAGTTTACCAAACAAAAGTGATCGCGAAGAGCTTGATGTTCTGAAAAACGAAAACGGCCAGCTCCACATTCCAGAGGAAAATAATTACTCTCATGGAGCAACAAATGTGATTAAACTTTATTGAAACTCCCTGTCGCCCCCAGCCCCTCTCCCAGAATATTAATTGGCCGGTATATTATTTAAGTCAAGACATGCGTTAAATCCATATTCGCATCAAACAATGGAGGAGATTCATATTCGCGCGTCTGGCACAAGAGTGAGTGAGTTTGGTTTTACGACTCTTTCAGCAATATTCTAGCAATATCACGGCGAGGTCAACAGCAATGGAACCCGTGACGATCCGGGGTAGAATAGTTCTTCAGCAACCCATGCTTGCCGTAAAAGGCGACAATGCTTGTCGTAATAGGCGACTAACGGGATCGGGGGGGTCAGACTCGCTGACTTAGTTGAAGCATGTCATCGATCTCAATTGCTTGGATCGATGCTCATAATATTAATCACTGGATTGTCTGGTCCAGACTCGATTATTTACAGACCGCCGTCATACAGCTGGAATATTGCTGAGTGCGGCGTAAAACAACAAAACAACCAACTAACCAAACAACCAGCAAGGGACTCAACACGTTGTACTCATGTGGGGAATCGAACCCTGGCTTTCGGCGTCACAAGCGGACGCTTTAATCATATGGCTACCCCACCGCCCTTATCTGTCGCAAAACCAAGTACAGTCAAAACAACATGGACACAACAAATTCCTGTACTATTCACAAATTGTAAAAATACACTAAAGTACTGTCGGAAATGCTAGAAAACTGCTTTTTGCCTGTTAAAAAGGATTTAATTTTTCACATAGTGTGGTTATTGAAATATCGAGAATCTACCGATCGCCCTACCTGTGGTTTGAAGTATTTCAGTCACAAGGAGTCCTATCGACAAGTTTACAGGAGACAAATTCGAACGAAAAAGTTCACATTTATTATAAGTTCAATGTTAGTCTGAAACGGACTATAGAAATATGCGCACGTGATTCCGTTGTAATGATGATAATGTAGTCTTCATAAAACATCTAATCCACACACAAAAATCATTTTGAGAAATTTCTAGATGTGCATCTTCTAAAATGACAAAATGACGCTGCGTTTTTTTTGGTAAACATTGCTCCCATGATGCATGTTACATTACACTTGCATAGCCATAACCATGGTACACGATATGGAGTCTGTACTGGGAAATATATACAAGTTCTTTACACTTTACATAGAGGGAAACCATTTATTAATTTATAAATTTAGATGAGCAGTTTGGTAATTCACCTTAAGCTATGGGGTTTTCAATTCATACCATCAAGTCAACGGTATGATAAGAAAACAAAACAGGTATAGGGGTGGTCTCAAAAACTAAACTGTGAAGTAAAAGGATATTAGACCGCTTTGATACAGGGTGATTAGGCGTACAGTGTACAAGCTTTATGAGCAGAAGGTAACCCTGACTTGTAGTAGAATTTGGGAGGAATTAAAGATACAATTAATGTTTCCCGGCCTGCACTAACTATTAAGTGGCTATCGACAGATGGACAAAAAGCACCCATAGTACCATCAGGTAAAGATAATCGTGTCATTGTTTTGCACGCTGCAACCCATGATATGGGGCTTATTGATGGATGTGTGCTAGTTTTCGAGGCGAGAAAGAAAACTGGTGATTTTCATAAGGAAATTAAAGTAGGTGATGTGTTCATAGACTGGTTGGAACTTCAGCTATTGCCCATAACAACGTCAGTGTTATTGTCATGGATAACGCGAGTTAATATAACGTCCGAGAATCAGATACTGTCGCCCAAACCATGAGTAGTCTGAAGGCGACCATACAGGAATATATGACATGACATGTCGACTTAAGGCCATATGAAACGAAAGTTCAACTCATGGAGAAAATTCGGCTGAATAAGAAACCAGTCAAGTACAAGAAATATGTGCTGGCGACACAACACGGTTACGTTGTCTTACGTACGCCAGTCAGACATTGTGAGCTCAACCCTGTTGTGCCCATCTTGGCTTAGTGTAACGGGTTCGTAGCAAGTCATAACACAACATTCAAAAGTACAGATTCATATACGTCATCAGCGGAGAAAAATGCTTCCTCAAGAAATCATCTGTAGAACAAATACTTCTGGATTCCAAAACCGCATCCTTCCAATACTCATCGTTCATAACTAGTCCATCATGTTTCCAAGCAAATATAATGCAGTACATATCCTAAATTATCCTTATTAAATACAATAACAGTAATATTTTGAGACCACCCCCAACTCGGTGACATTTGCGCCTGGGACAATGCTAGGGAGGGTGTGAGGTCATCACCTCGGGACAGGTGTTAGGTAATCACCTCAGGTTATAGGCTATTTCATACATGCATGACAACACACGAATAGTTTCTAAGTTTATCATCATTTTCCCTGTAAAAGTACATTTTATGGGTACTCACAATGTCAGTTGGGGCAGGCGAGATTAGGTCAATTCACGTTATTTTGATATATGCTCTTTTTTATAGTCATATGACTCGTATTTATTACATGAAGTCAGAAAAAAACAGTTTTCTAGCATTTCCGACAGTACTTTAACAACACCAGGTGTCCGTTTGACGGTGTCCAGTTCTGCCCTGGTGGGATATAGTGAGTGAGTGAGTTGGGTTAAACGCCGATTTTAACAGTATTCCAGTTATATCGCGGCGTGTCAGCTTAATGTGGGAGGAAAGCCCGAAGTGATGCAGGTCTCAGACGTTTACCACTTCAGTGAAACCCACGAGCACGGGTATGGTGCTGACAAACCTAGAAACATAATCGGGCGAACCGGGATTCGAACCCACAATCATAGGTTTCGGACGTTCCCAAGGGACGCAACTCTGCACAGGGAATGGCGGCGCCTTAGACGACCCCCCCCCCCCCCCCCCCCCCCGGTGGGAAATAGGATATATCACCCCCACCCAGTTGTTTCACGGGCAACACCCACAGATCCCTCCCTTGAGTCCACTCCCCCGTCGCAGGTCATAAACATACAATCCACCGGCATGCATAAGTATTCATTTCAGCCTGTCTCCATTTGGCCCATAGGAGCACCAGAAAAACCAACACACACTGCATGCTCTGAGACATTGTGAACCTTGGAGCTTAGGTGTGAACGTCCAGATGGTAATGCCTTATCCCACGGGGGGGGGGGGGGGGGGGGGAGTCGTCCCTGTGCAGAGTTGCGTCCCTTGGGAACGTCCGAAACCTATGTAGATACTTTGAAGGAAGTCTATTTTCTTCTGGCGATTTGGCGATTGCATCTTATTCACGTCGTCCCGTTTTAAACCAATATTAGTGAGTGATTGAATGTGTGTGTTGGGTTTAACGAACAACAGTATTTCAGTTAAATCACTGCGTGTAAGCTTAATTTGGTATAGAATAAGGGCGAACCGGGAATCGAACCCACCATCACACATTTCTGGCGTGCTTAAGGGACGCAACTCTGCACTGCGAATTGCGACGACTGGGCCACCCGTGCCCCGAACAAGTCTTAGCGCTGGACCACGTTTGTAGGGCCACGTCGAGTTGGGGAACGAACGCCCAGAACATACATTATTATTTTTTGGGGACATAGAAAGGGCAGTACGGATAAAAATAATAATTAAAAAAGCAGCCCCTGATTAATAAATACAAAACGTCAACACCACAGAATAATCACTCTCGATTATCCGACGAAACAGATTCCATTGCCATGAAAGGGGAAAATAGCGGTGAAAATTATATTAATGGATCACTGAAAATCACAGATGACACCAGGTTTTCCCACAAAAAGGGTAAGCATGCCCTGCCCTACTGGTAGCACCTGCCACTCACAGTTTTTATAAAAAAGTAAGTTGTTGACGCCGCACAGAAGTACCCCTGCCATACAAAACGTCAAGATTAATACTACTCAAAAGACGTTTATGATCACCCGATGCTTTTACATC